GACATGATTGTGCACCTCCTCATGTTCTCATTCGTAATTTTGGGATTTCTCTGATGTTGAACTATTTTTTTAAAACAATTTGTAAATAGCGATGGTTTTGGGGTCTATTTAAAAGTTTAAATTTTTTTTTATGAATTTTATGAGTGTTACAATACAAGAATGGTAAAATAACTTGATGAGTCATTGGATTCATATCTAGATTGTATAATTGGTACATAGTAGAGTAATAGAACATGCCATATTATGGAAGAGTTTTCAAATTAGTATTATGATAATCAAATAATTTAAGTTTAGGACAATGTATTGAATAATGTTAAGTATTAAAAGTTGACACATGCCTATATAGATATAGAAATGGAAACTCTTTTACATACATAAATCTAGTAAATTGAATGGCTTGTATGAATGGGATAATTTAATAAGTGTTGAAGGAGCAAAGGTTCAAGTGAAGGGTAATAGATAATGTGGAAGCTAGATAGACTCCATAACTACACGAGGTGAGTATATGTGGATTTTTCAAATGGGTACATAACAAGCAATATTCATTTTATAACTATATTTTCATAACAACTTGTTTTGATGATTGAACATTGTTTAGATCTTCTATTAAGATTGTTATTGTTCGTTACCATGAGCGTTGTTTTGAACGTATGTAGCATACTAATTGAGTTTGATTGAGTTTAGTCAATTGTTTATCAATTAAGCTTTGAGTTTTTATGTCATGAATGAATTCATAGTTTCCAGTGTCTGGACTAGTTAAATTGGAAGACTCTATTAGGATGGTGCCTCCGTCGCAAAGTAGATTCTAGCCAAGATGCCATAAGGAGTAAGGTATGATCTAAAGACCATATTTCTATACGGAGCAAGATATAAGGAAACCGATAAGGTTTTCATTTATAGTTATGATCATGCTTGAATTAATTTTTTTTCATTGCAAGAAGCTTGAGTCATATTAAAGCTTATTACATGTTACTATATTGTTGAGTCTAAACCCATATATCTTATATGTCTTACATATTTGTTTGTTTCAAAATTATTATGTACTCAACATAGGAGCAAAGGAACAAAAGTTTAAAGCTAAAAGTGAACTTTTGGAAGACTTAGCTTAATCGTGGACTTTTGTACATCTTTTTCCTTAACTATGGTTATTATATGTTTTTGTAACACCAATAGTTGTAAACTATGATAATACTTTTGATGTTTGTGTTAAAACCAACTTATGATGCATGACTATAAGTCATGTAAGGTTTATAACCATGGTTTATAAATGATTTTAAAAAGAACATGGTGTTACACAAACACCAAAAACACACTAAGAATTCGTTTTTCAGATCTAAAAATCCTTTGTTTGTGTGCGTTTGTTTCAGATCCATATATCTATACATACAAACACCAAGAACACAACAAAAACTTGTTTTTTTTTTTATATTTGAAAACAGTTTATATGTGTGTGTTTTTTAGATTCATCCCTCTTACACACACAAACACCAATAACACATACACAAACACTAAGAACACACCAAGAACTTGATATTTAGATCTAAAAATCGATTTGTGTGTTTTTTTTGTTCAGATTCATCTCTCTTATACACACCAAGAAAAAATAAAACTTCACCAAAGAAGATAACCGAAGGTTTGCCGGAGCTGTCATGGATTTCGGAAGTCGGTTAAACTGACAATAGTCGATTATATGATTTTTTTGAACACCAAAAACAAGTTTACTCATAAATAATATAAATATTTAAATAAACATGAACAAAAAATGAAAGTTCTTTGACCTACTAAATCATTATCCAAATTAAAAATAATAATAACAATAAAATAAAAAACAAGACTAGTGAGAGTTAACTAAAGGATCTTTTTAGTAGTTCTCAAAAAAAAAAAAAAAAAAAAAAAAAAATTAGTATCATTTGAGTTCGTTGAACAAGTTGAGTAGCAGCCCTTTAAAATGACGAGTGGGAAATGTATAGGTGCCATAGGTAGGAAACTGTCGGTATTGACTATCCTTTCTTTATCAGGAATGGGTGAAAATTGAAATGTTGATAGCCTGAATTATTCACATTCACACCCTTTTCTTCAACCCCTCCAAACCCCTTTCTTTCCATAAATCACACGTCTCACATCTCCCAAGAATCTGGACATCATCCATTTCCTCTTTTTCTGATAAAAAGATTCACAGATTTGTTTTACTGGAAAATCTAAATCAGGTCTCTAAGATCAAGTTGAAGAATCACAAGATCTGTTCGATTTAAAGGTAGGTCGTTCGGATCTTTAACTTTGAAGGCCTTGATTAAGTTTTGTGCTGTTTTAGACTAGTAAATTGCCGAACCTTCTGATACGATACCCAATCGAAAAGGTTTAAACATTAATCGGTTTGATTTTGAAGCTCTGGTGATATGGGTAATTGTTGTGCTACACCCTCCACTACCGATTTCGAGAAGAAAAAAGGGAAAAATAAACCGAATCCGTTTTCATTAGACTATGGTTCGTCTAATCCATCTGGAAATGGCGGCTATAAAACCACTGTGTTAGAAAACCCAACTGGAACTGAGATTGAGAAAACATATGTTCTTGGTAAAGAGATGGGTAGAGGCGAATTTGGGATTACTTATATGTGTACCGATAAATCCACTGGTGAAGTTTTCGCCTGTAAATCGATATCAAAAAAGAAGCTTAGAACCAGAATCGATATTGAAGATGTGAAGAGAGAAGTCGAGATTATGAAGCATATGCCACCACAACCTAATATCGTGAGCTTAAAGGGTACTTACGAAGATGATAATGCTGTTCATTTGGTTATGGAGTTATGTGAGGGTGGCGAATTGTTTGATCGGATTGTTGCCAGAGGACACTACACTGAGAGGGCAGCTGCGGGTGTGACAAAAACCATCGTTGAGGTTATTCAGGTGACACAATAATCCCTCCAAATTGATTTCTGTTTACCCAAAACCATCCATTCCACCTACAAAATGTTAGTGTACAAATTTTCAATTGCTCTATTTTATTGCAGATGTGCCACAAGCATGGTGTGATGCATCGTGATCTTAAACCAGAGAACTTCTTGTTTGCAAACAAGAAAGAAACTGCAGCCTTGAAGGCTATTGACTTTGGGTTATCTGTTTTCTTTAAACCAGGTAACAACTTATAATAGTCATGAGATATCATCTTATCAGTATTATTAAAAGATATAATTCATATAGATATAACCCTTGGTTTTGGTTTTAAAACTCGATCTATTTGTGCTAAATGGAGTTGTTTCTAATGTTTACAGGGGAAAGATTCAATGAAATTGTTGGTAGTCCATATTACATGGCTCCTGAAGTCTTAAAACGAAACTATGGTCCTGAGGTGGATGTATGGAGTGCTGGTGTCATCTTATACATATTGCTTTGTGGGGTCCCACCTTTTTGGGCAGGTATGTATGAACAAAGATAAATCTTGATTTTCTTCTTCTTAAACTAGAGTGGTAATAAAGTTCTCTATATATAATTGTTGGATGTTGGTTTTTGCAATGTCAGAATGATGATAAGTGAAGATAAATATATTGATGAAAAATATGGTTTGTTTTAATTGCAGAAACTGAACAAGGTGTTGCACAGGCAATCATTAAATCTGTTGTTGATTTCAAGAGGGATCCATGGCCAAAAGTATCTGATACTGCAAAGGATCTTGTCAAGAAGATGCTCAATCCTGACCCCAAGTTACGCCTTACAGCTCAAGAAGTTTTAGGTGCAATAAAATTTCTCTTTTTTTGCTCTATAAGTTGTTAAATGCACTAAATAGTAATGTAACTTTATTGTTTTTTAAATTCCTTTAGATCATCCGTGGATACAGAATGCCAAAAAGGCACCAAATGTCTCATTAGGTGAAACTGTTAAAGCAAGACTCAAACAATTCTCAGTCATGAACAAGCTAAAGAAGAGAGCTCTAAGAGTAAGCAAAGCAAACACATTCATAATATATTTTTTTGTTTATTATACAATTAATCATCATGTTATAAAATCATTTTTGGGTTAACATAAAAAAAACTTGCAGGTAATTGCGGAGCATTTATCTGCAGAGGAAGTGGCAGGCATAAAGCAAGGTTTTGATTTAATGGACACAAACAAACAAGGAAAGATAAATCTACCTGAATTGAAAGCTGGATTGCAGAAACTTGGCCATCAAATCGCTGATGTGGATCTTCAAATACTTATGGAAGCGGTAATTCACTTAATATAGAATAGAGAAAGAACGACTTAATACAGAAAGTCAGAGCCTTTTCGATTTTTAAATTTTTTTTCCTTAAACAGGGAGATGTTGACAAAGATGGATTCTTGAATTATGGTGAATTTGTGGCGATTTCGGTTCACTTAAGAAAGATGGGCAATGATGATCATCTTAAAGATGCTTTTGCATTCTTTGATAAAAACCAAAGTGGATACATAGAGGTTGAAGAGTTGAGGGAAGCCTTAGCTGATGAAGATGAAGCCAATAATGAAGAAGTCATTTCCGCCATCATTCATGATGTTGACACTGATAAGGTTTGTGTTTGTGTATTTCGTAGAACATTTATGTAACATAGGATTTAATTACTAATTCTTTTTTTAAATGTTTAATGGTGTTTGATTGTTTTTTTGCAGGATGGAAAGATTAGTTTTGAGGAATTCACAGCGATGATGAAGGCGGGAACAGATTGGAGAAAAGCTTCGCGACAGTACTCCAGAGAGAGATACAATAATTTGAGCTTGAAATTGTTCCAAGATGCATCATTGGATTTAGGCAATGAGGAAAGATGACTAGAAAATTAAATAATGATTTTGTTCAAAAGAATCAAAGTTGTTGAAATACATTTATTGAGATTTTTTTTTTTGTTTCGAGAAAGATGTGGTTGTAAATATGGATGTGTTTACTTACACATATCCCTTGAGGGCCATCATCCCTTCTTTTTCATCTTTTTTTCTTATAGCGAATTGGAATATTGGATCTTGTAAAGCATTCTATTCTAACTAATAACAAGTCTTTATTATTATTTTTCTAACATGGTTTTGTTTTCATGTATATTGTAATCGGTTAATTGCCACCATTTATGGCATTTCCATGAACACCTTCTATAAGTTCACCAAATGTCCTTACAAGAACAAGTTCCACCAACAAATCTATGAAACCGAACTCTATCCCTAACAACAATCTCTCGCTCATATATCTTACTAATAATCTTCGTCACTTCATGACAATCCCCACAAACCCTAAGATTCTTCACTACCCTAATCACCACAGGAGCTTTAGTCTTCAAAATCCCATAAGCAATAGCCAATCTTTCACTATGCTCACAAAGAGCTTCCACTTTAACTTCATCACCCACATCATGACACACCTCTGAAACATCCACTTTATGCCCAAAAGCTTTAACTCGTTTCAAAACATCACTCAACACTTCCATTATCTCCTCTCTCTCAGGGTGAGACCAATCCCCTAACACAAACTCATGTAGGGTTCCCTCAACTTCAATGGAGCTACACCCTGGTGTAGTTTTTAACCCTTTATCTCTCATTTGTTTCCTTACATTTCCCATTTTAGACCATGATGAACATGTTGCGTAAAAGCTTGATAGAAGGGCATAGTTTTCGGGGTTTGATGGTTCCAATTTGAGGAGCTGTTGACCTGTTGACTCTCCTTTTTCTATGTTTTTGTTTTTCTTGCATGCGACAAGAAAAGTGCGTAAGATTACTGGATCGGGGTCAATGGGCATGTTTTTGATGAAGGTGTAAGCTTCTTGAAATAGGTTTGCACGACAAAATAGATCAACCATGCAGCTATAATGCTCCATTGATGGTTGAATTCCAGATTCGAGCAAGATATCCCAATGTTTTTGTCCCTCATAAACTAGTTGACCATGGCCACATGCTAGTAACACACCAAGGAATGCTACATTATTGGGTTTCACCTAAAACAAGATTTCAAACAACATGAATGACATGCGAATGGAATGACGAAAGAATGGAATGGAATGGAATGAGGAATGTTCAAATGTATAATACCTGGGATTTTTCCATATCAGCAAATACCCTAAGAGCATCATCTGCATGCCCATGAACTGCATACCCGACAATCATTGAGCTCCAAGTTCTTGAATCTCTTGTGGGCATTTCATCAAACACTTCTCTAGCTTTTTCTATGCATCCACACTTTGCGTACATATTAATAAGTGCAGTATTAAGCTTTATATCTATCAAGATCCTTTGTTTCTTGATGTAAGCATGCACCCACCTACCTGTATCGAGTGCCCCCAACCCAGCACAAGCGGATACCACACTAGCCATTGTCAGTTCATCGGGAACAACACCTGCTTTCTGCATATCCCCGAATACAGCCAATGCCTCATTAAACATGTCAAGTTTAGCATACCCGCCAATCATCGTACTCCAAGCAATCATATTTCTGTCAGGAATTTCATCGAACACCTTCCGTGCGCACTTGATATCCTCGCATTTTGCGTAGAAATTAATCAACGACGACTGCAAAAACGAATTTGTCGAAAATCCAGAGCGTATGACACGTGCATGGACCTGCTGGCCTTCTTGTATAGCTGGTAATATCGAGCAGGCTTTTAAAACAAACACAAGTGTGTAAGTGTTGGGGTTTGGGTGTCCTCTTCTGATCAAACGATTGAAGATGGAAACAGATTGAGTTGTTGCTGAGATATGAGATTGGGAGAAGCCTCTAATGACGGAATTCCAAGAGAAAATGTTGGGATTTGGGATTTGAAAGAGAAGCTTTTCGGCATATAGGATGTTGCCGACAGGGGAGATGGCGCAAAAGCTGAGGATTTTCGAGAGAGAGAAGCATAGGGTGGAGAAAGGTAAAGCTCGAGTAAGGATATAGGAATGGATTTGATGAAGTACTCTCATGTTCGGACATTTTCGGACCAAAGAAGCGACTCTCTCTTCTTCTTCTTCCAGATCTTCTGCTTGTATCTAGACAAAGAATAAAGATATGGATGAACACTTTGTTTATGCAGTAAAAACTGAGCTCTATCAGTTTATACAGCTATGGAGAAGTGTGATTCTATTCGTGCCCTTTTGCTACCTTCTGATGATGATACATATGCATGTCATGAACAGGGTTTACGAATAGAATCACGGGTGTTGGGACAGGAAAAGTACATAGGTTATTGTTTAAATGTTTGGATAAAAATATTTAAAAATCAGTTTATTATCATAGGAAAAATAAAATAAACTGATTTTAATAAGTAAGATGGAAAATACTTATTGGTCATTTTATTCATATAAGTTGTTTTATTTTGCCAAACACTTAAAAGATTATTGCTTATTGATTATTTTCACCGCAATAAGCTAATCTAAGCACATTTTAAAAAATGTTTATTCTCACCATAATAAGCAAATAAGCAATAAGCTAATAAACTACAAGATTATTTATCCAAACACCCCCTTATATTTTTCTAAAATGTTTAAAAAAAACTAGACATTTTAAAGTAACGAAATACTTTTTTTCTCTATTTATGAGAAATTCTTACAAATCTTTCTACCAAATTAAATGATGACATGTGTTATATTAATATACTAAAATATTATTAAAAATACATTAAATGTTACATATATCATTATTCAATTTGATAAGAAGATTTATACGAACAAAAATAGAAGGATATTTAATTTCTCTATATTTGCATGTGCCTATATCGATGTTTAACATCCATAGACAGAAATAGAAGGTTTCAAGGAAAGGAAGAAATCGATTTCCACACTTCTAAACCGGGTTCGAGGAATTGAAATATTTGTTAAAATTAGAAGTATAATGCAACTTGAAATACAATGCTATTTTTAGAGTACAATGCGGTTTCTAAAACTACAATGCTCACAAAAAACTGAAAAAGCCACATACATAATCTCCATCCTTTCCACCCCCGCCCCTGAATTCCTCTTGTGACCTCCATCCCCAATTGATTTTGATCTACCTTATTTGAGCAAAAAGAAACTATTTTTTAAGTAACAAATAGATATTTATAACATAATTTTACATGTTACAAACAACTTAAAAACTGGTTTTTTATTGAATTTTTGTACGTAAAAAATCATTTTATTGTTTATAATATTTATATAATTAATATATGTCAATTCATATAATTTATTAACGGGGTTCCCACGGGGGTTTCGAGACGGGACTACCAAACCATGCCCCCGCCCCCGAAATTAAAACGAGGGTTAATCTTGCCCCCACCTTTGGCCCGTCCCCGATATGTAATGAATTTGAAGGCTCATGATACATCATCAAAAAGCTCACGAACTAGAACTTTGGGTAGCCATAGGTGATCAACCCTTTGGTCGATCCCTAAATTCCACTATTTAGGTCTACCATTTATTATTATAATGATTAAATCTTGCTAAATAAAAATTTATTGCGGCAAAACTCCAAAAGCATGAAAATTTACTATTCATAAGCACTTTGAAATTAATATATAGTATATTGTAAGCAAATCCTAATTTTTGCAGTGAAAATAACATGAAATTGTATAATAATAATAATAATAATAATAAAAAAAGATGTAATGACTCTTAAAGTTTGATGTTGGGCATACAGATGATATGACATAAATTTTTTATGTATAAGTGTGACAAAATATAAACGGGATAACATAAGATATAACTTTTCATATGTAAAGAATTTGAAGGCTCATGATACATCGTCAAAAAACTCATGAACTGGAACTTTGGGTAGCCATAGGTGACCAACCCTTTGGCCAATCCCTAAATTCCACTGTTTAGGTCTACCATTGTTATTATAAAGATTAAATCTTGCAAAATACAAATTTACTGTGGCAAAACTCCAAAAGCATAAAAATTTACTATTCATAAGCACTTTGAAATTAATATATAGTATAATATAATGGGTTTTGGTGGTTAATGATAATTAAAGTGAAGTTTGATTTGTTTTTGTTTTTATTTAGAATGAATGTTTAATTAAAGTGAGGTTTGATATTGAAAAATATGTTTTTGTTCTTGCGATCTAAAAAACTAGAGGGGTGGTGGTGGTGACCGTCGATAGTGGTAGTGACCAACGGCGATGGTGGCGAACGACGGTGATGGTGGATGTGTTAATCGACACTGGTGTGTTACAAGAAGAATGTTAGTGGAATGAGGTTACCTTTTCTTTTTTGCTTAATTTTTAATTAGAAAAAATAATTAGAAAAAATAATTAAAAAAAATAAAATAAGAAAATATCAATGACAAATCCATCAGTTTATATATTTAAAAAACAGGACAGAAAACACAACAAAATGCTTGTTTTGGACTAGTGTTGCTAGTCCAAACTTTTTGAACCAAAATGACAATTTTTGATATACCATATAGACCATTTTTGAAATTTTGTCAAAAAAATAAGAGACAAAATTATAAGAATGGTCATTGTGCTATGTCACAACTCGCAAGTTTAGTCCAAAAATGTATGGATTCGTCAGCGATAAAAAAAGTTTGATTTTGGTGCAAGTTTGGTCCAAATTGTTTTAAAATTTTTTTAAATGACGGATTTGCCTCATATTATTTTATTTTTTATTTTTCTTTTATTATGACAAGAACTCTTCTCTTCTCTTCTCTTCTCTCTCTCTCTCTCTCTCATATTTGTTCATGAACATATGTATCTAGGATTAACCAAATAAGGATGTAGATCCCGAAATTTATTGGGTTTTCTGCGTGTTCTTGTCCAAACATGAAGATGGACAAAAAAAAAGTTGATGAATAAACAATTTTTAAACCCCCTTGTATGTTATTAACAAATCAAGACTCAAACTCGATTTCATGAACTCAATAATGAACTTCAATAACTCAAGAACGATCTTCAAGTTGCAAACCCAGATGAAATCAACTTTTAAGATCGAAGTAGATGTTGATTCTTTCAAGATCGAACTATGTATGTGTGTGTGTGTTTAACTCTCTTTCTCCCTCTAATAAACATTGTTCGGTGAGTGTACAACACGGCATGCACATAAACACATAATGTGTGTTCTTGGTTCTTAATTCTGGGTCTGAAATAAAACCCAAAGCCAAAAGTCAAAGATGGGTATGTTCTTCGTTCCAAATAAAAAAGGAAGATGAAGAAGAATAAATCTAAAACAAAGATCACACACAGAACCCTACCTTATGTAAAACCCCGATCTAGGTATCAATTTTAAATATGAGATTAGTGCGGAATCCTAATCAAGTGATAAACACAAAACAATAAATATGAAACAAAAACAAAAACACAAATCTTCAATGCACACTATTATTGACTAATAGTCGGGTACATAAGATCAAACAATTTCTCTCTAACTGTTAATGCTTTCTAAATCTCTCTTTGATAAAACCGAATGACCAACTCTCTTCACAACTGAAAATAACACAGTATATACTAATACCTAATTACTAAAGCCCAGTCCAATCGAAAACATCATTAAGCCCACCGAAATCACATGGTGACTTCGGTCCATGTACAACTGAGATCATAGTGATTTCGGTTCTAAATCGAGAACTCTAAAAGCCTTGAGAAACAAAGTATAAACCACAAATTTATGTCATAACAAACTCCACCTTGGTTTATAGCTTTCTTTTCTTTTCAGTCTTCCTTGATCTTGACTTTCAGCTCTCTTTCCTCGATTTCTTCACGACTTGACTACAAGATGTGCATATGAATCTTCTACATGAATAACTTTATCTTTAGTAGTTGGACTTCATTAAAAATCTGACTTTTAATATACACTGGGCGTAGAGGCTTCTTGAATTGGTTCTTCAAGATCAGCACGTTTAGCTTTAAATTTCTTCCTTGATAATTACATAGAGTTCGATGCTTCTTGATCACTTCAGCAGGTTCATAAATAGTAGCAAACTGATTGAGGAGGCTTCAATGCAATTCGTCGCATAACTTCAAATACTGTTTCACGTTGCTTCTGGGGTTGAAAGGTTGTGTGTTGAAAATTGATTTTTCACTTCTTGTTCCTTTGAATAAATATTATTCACTAATCAAAGATGCATCTTGAAAAATAACCATGACTAAAAGTCCATATGGATTACAGAGTCATAAAGACCCTTCTCACCACAACTGTTCAAGGACCCAGCCTTGGCTCAGATGGAGACTACTCGCAGTATCTGTGTGAACACGAAGGAACACATTGCGATTTGTTGAATATCGGAGAACTACTCATGGCTATTTTTGATGTTAGCCCTTGTATATCCTCGATCAAAGATCTCAATACAGTTTTCAAGTTAACAAGTTAACTTGGCCCTTGGCGAGATGTTAATTGGTTTCTGAATCTCAGTTGAGTGTACTATTCTAGTGCCAGTGAGAGTTAATGAGGAATAACTCACAAAACCATTCTTGCGGCAAATGTATCCAAAGACATATTTCCAAATTTTAGCATGACACAAGGTCAAGGCCCTTGGCGGGACATTCAACAATAATCATGCCTTGCGAGGTGCATTTCCTTGGTGCCAATACCATTAATTCCTTACCTGCGGAGAAAGTGTAACGCCCGTAGATCTGGGCTAGTCAATTTAGAGGTAATAGGGATTGAAAATGATTTTTTGACAAAAGATTATTTAGAATAAATAATCTTAACCAAGTTGTAGAATATGTCACAAGGTTTCCGTACATATAAAGAGCGTCGAAATCCGAGTTATAACGAAGAAGTTATGACCCGTCGAAGTTTCGCGACGGAACCGGCACGGCACCGGGAAGCGTAAATAGTGATTTTACGATGGAAGACTTTTTAGCCTTAGATATCTAAATGAAATTCGTATAATATGTTAAACCGAGAAAATCCATAAAAAGAACGCCCAAATCTGACTGCGTATGAAGAAGTTATGATTTTTCTAAGATTCGGCTTAGCAGTGCATGACCCGAAACTCGAATTTTAGTTCGAGCGGTTTTTGGCTTACGTGACTTAAATGAGAGTTGAATATATCATTAATAGGAGCTTAACAGTAAAAATACAGACGAAAACAGAGTCCGTATGAAGGAGTTACGAATTCTTCGCAGTCATTTAATAGTCTAAACGCCTTGTACTGTTAAATTTAAGATCGGTCGAGAATTAGCCGACGGAGTCAAAATGAAAGTTGTAGATATTATTTTTACCTACGTGTGGATATAAAG